GTGAAACGTCTTCAAGTAACTTAAAGAAGTCCAGACGCTTTTCTTTGCAAGCTCCTTTGACTACGATGACCTGGATGACTGAGAACCTTCACAGACATAGTGAAAGGGATGGTTTCTGTGAGAAAGGGAAAGAAGTAAAGTCGTTGTGATGATGATGATCATGGTTGCAGACAGTACCCAACGTACCAGTAATGTTAGTCCTCACTGGTCAGTGATAGTGATTCTGTAGAAGGAACCATAGCAGTGTGTGGGACAGAGGTGTGGCGGGGGACGGAGGGGTGAAGAAGAGGAGACAGAAGAGAGAAAAGGAGCGCAAACAGTTACAGCGCAGGAAATGACCAACATCGCATGTGCGAAGCTCTCACTCATGGCAGCTCACAATACAGAAAAACTGGATTGGAAGATGAAAAATGGGCACTTAAAACAGATTAGTTTTAGTGAGGATATTAAAAAGCTGTCATTTTCCAGTGAGAGCTTCGCTCAGCCACGTTAGCGTCCTCTACAGTAAAACAGGTGAGCTACTGACAGTTAGCCCCAGGTTAAAGAGGTTAGCTAGCTCACAAACACAGGAAAGTGGGGGTGGGGGGTGGGGGGGATTTTAAATGCATACAATTAATGAATACCAGAAAGGAAGCCCCATCTCCCCTTCATTCACCAGACCACGTTTTAATTCAAAGGAATCCAGACGACCTTGCTTTTAGCAATAGATTATTCAACAGGTGATGCCTGACAACGTGCTGAAAGTTTGGTGATGGCTGAAAGATACTAGCAAGGTGAAAGAAATTAGTGAGATATTGTAGTTGTAGTGCCTATTTGGGGATAACTAGCAATCTACCAGCCTATTAATCTATCCTCTATCAAAACCAACGGTTTCTACTGTCCTTTACCTCCTTTATCCCCTCATCCGGGTGTCTTCACATCCCCCTTGTTAACAGAGAGTATCCACACTTCAGCTTTGGTGACGTCACATTATCTTAAACTGTAGTTTGGATGTCAGTGTCCTTGTAAAATCTACTGCGTCCTACTCTATGATGGAAGAGTTTCCACTCACCTAGGCACACTTGGGGGTGCGCGGTTAGGCCTGGAGGGCACGGTGGGTGGTGGCCCACTGTATGGGTCAGGAGACGCTCCGGGGCGAGAAGGGACAGGGGGACCCCCTGCAGGAGGAGGCCCAGGTGGAGGACCACGAGAGCCTGGACGGGCCGGGGGTCCTGGTGGAGCCCTGCGGTTTGGAGTTGGACTGGTGGCCGGAGATCTTGATAAGAAAGTAGAAGTGAAGAGAGGAACATAAAAGGAGAAAAACATCAGGAAAGTGTCAATACGTCAGATGCTGCGTCTTTTTGGAAAATTCTTATTTACTTGACCATATGTCAAAATTAGACTTTTAATATTTGTTCTCCCCAACCTGTTCCCACACGTACTCTCTCAGTCCCACAGTCTGATGTCTCATGTGCCTTACCGTCCCCCAGATCCGCTACGCTGC